GTCCTCCATTGCGTCCTGTCCATTACTGCGTACCACCTCCTCCCCCTCGTTCCCCGCCATGAAGTGTGTCCAGTATTTTTTTTTAGACTACCTGGTAACCCCGTAATGTCTCCAAAAAAAAAGTGGCTTTGCATTTTAATTTAATCACATGATACGCTCTTTTAGTTTTAAAGTATGGATTGCTGTATTATGTAATGGTGCCGAATTGCACATGTAAAAAACAAACTAAGAAGTACAATGTCCCATACTTAAGTTTGTATTTTTTAGAGTAAAGTTTAGTTGTTAATTTAAAAAAAAATAAGTTTAGTTAAGTTTTAGTTTCGTTAGTTTGCTTGATGAATAAAAATTATGTCCTTTATGATTGAGTATTCAATAAATGTTCGCCTTTAAATTTTTTTTTTTAAATTCCCTGGGTACACACCCTAATGAAATATGCTGTGCACGCCTATGAGTTACCCTCTCTTTTCCTGACCATGCTTCCGTTTTTGTGGTCCCATGTGGTTCACATGTTGAGCAGACCAGCAGTAGTGGTTCAGAAAGGTTTGGCTGTGCCCAGGTGATCCCCAGACCATTTGCCAGCAAAATGGAGGGTCGGTTCATATTGGAGGCAGTGTAAGTCAGATGGCAGGCCTGTTTCAGGTGTTAAAACACCACCTTGTGGTACCCCACGTACTATTTCAGGGGTGGCCAACCTGTGGCTCCAGAGCCACATGCGGCTCTTCAGAAGTTAATATGTAGCTCCGTGCATAGGTACCAAATCCAGGGCTGGAGCTACAGGTGCCAACTTTTCACTGAGCCGGAGGGTGCTCACTGTTCAACCCCCAGCTCTGCCCTCGGCGCTGTCCCTCTCCACCCTTTCCCCCTAGGATCCTGCAACTTCCCAACCTCTCCACTGAGCCTGTCACACCCATGCTTCCTCCCTCCAGTGTCTCCCACTGAGACAGAGGTGATCACAGTGGGCAGGAAGAAATGGAGAAGGAGGCACTGACCGGTTAGGCTGCCAGTGGGGAGGATTGCTAAGAGTGGTGGTGGGGAAATGATCAGAGTTGGTGACATAGAACTGTTGCTCAGGTTTAGGTTGGCCACCGCTGCACTGTATTTCCTGTGCAGCAAAATGGGAGTCACTGTCCATAAGAGCAAATGATGAGCTGCAGAGACCACTATGCTGGTTACGCACTGAGGCAGTCGTCTGGTGCTATGAGAATTCACATTAAGCCCGGAATCCCATTTTATAAATACCTATGAAAATATGAAAATCTTGGGAAATATTAACACAGAACTCATGTCCTAGAGTTAAAGAGAGAACAGAAGAGGACACATCTACTGTCTACCAGAAGGGCAGAGATTTGGACAACGCATGTTCAGTTTAGCCAACAGGGAAAGCTTTCCAATTAAAAAAAAAAAAGGAAGAATCGGTATTTTTAATAATTTTGCCTCACTTCATTTGGATTAGTTAAATTGTTATTTATGTCCCCAGCACTAGGTCCAATGGAGAAAAAAATTCTTATATTTCCTCACCAACAACCATGCTGGCTGACTTCCATGTCTACAAAAGATGGATAGATATTGATGTTGACTTTCATGATATGGAACATTTCTACCTCATTTTTCAGAACCATAAGATGCCTGTTAATATCACCAGCTGTTCATGCATTTCTGTTTGTACGCACCATTAGTTGCATAACCCAGAAGCATGCAAACTGTGAGGAACCCAGAGAAATGACTGATAAGACAGAGAAGGCATTTTTTATTTTTAGTGAAGAAGGACTCAGTGGGATTAAACCCATCTCTTTCTAAGGCCACATATACAGCAACTGCTCTTAAGAAACACTTTAAGAACACAAAATGGGGCAAATTCAGACCTGTGGTGAAAGTGGGTGAAATTCATATTTGCATCAATTTGGTATGTATGCTAAGTCAGAGTCTGTCTTAACATGTTTTGATTTAAATTTTTTCAGCCTCTGTATCCCAAAAAGCAAGAAGATAGATACCATTATAGCTCAGTGCCATTCCCAGGTTTTTGCCGTAAGCAGGACTTGAACTGTCACTAGCTGGGTGAGTTCAGGACACAAGGCTTATTGTTTAATCTCTTGAACTATCTACCATTAGTACAGTGCCTGTGCAGGCAAATATCTAATCTAGCAATCTGTTCGTGGTATTTCTAGGATGCTGATTTGTACAGAGTCTATGTACTAAGTACAAAAATGTAGAGTTCTAGGGCTTTCCATAGTGAGTTTTGCATTATACTCTTTAAAAAGGCTCATTCTGAATTCCTCAGGGCCACATTCCCAGAATTTAAAGTCAGCACATTGAGAGCCCCTCTGCCTCTGTCAAGAGCCCTATGCAATTAGTGTGGTAGATTCTGGAGGGAGTATCTATGCTTGGATCTGGTGACTCCAACGGACTTACCACCAGGAATTAGTGTGGCCTTTATGCTTAAGAAGGAGGTTCAGCCGTCTTTAAGTTACCTAGCAGCTAGATAAATGGGCACAAAAAAGTCCCAATCCCTAGCAATTGCATAACACTCTACTTCAGATATAATAATGGTGACTTAGACTTCATCTGAAGAAGTAGGCTGTGCCCACGAAAGCTCATGATACCATCTACATGTTTTGTTAGTCTATAAAGTGATACCAGACTATTTGTTGGTTTTTTTCTGTAATAGACTAACTCAGCTACCCCTTGAAGCTGCTTAAACACACAGCGCTTTTTTTTTTTGCTTCACTCTCATGGACGGGCTAATGGTAGTGGTGTTTTGTTTTTGTTTTATCCTGCATTTGTTTATTTGCTAAATGCTGTTATGATTGGCCACGTTTTTTCCTCAACCCTTTCTGCTCTTGTTTTAACAAGAGGTTTTTAGTGTGTTTGGGAAGGAGTAAGGGTATGTCTACACTACAAAGTTAATTCGAACTAACGGAAGTTAGTTCGAATTAACTTTGATAGGCGCTACACTAGCGCTCCGCTAGTTCGAACTTAATTCGAGCTAGCGAAGCGCTTAGTTCAAACTAGGTAAACCTCATTCTACGAGGACTAAGCCTAGTTCGAACTTACTAGTTCGAACTAAGGGGTGTGTAGCCCCTTAATTCGAACTAGTGGGAGACTAGCCCTCCCCAGCTTTCCCTGGTGGCCACTCTGGGCACCACCAGGGAAACTCGTATGACCCCCTCCCGGCCCCGGAGCCTTTAAAGGGGCATGGGGGGTGTGTAGCCCCTTAATTCGAACTAGTGGGAGACTAGCCCTCCCCAGCTTTCCCTGGTGGCCACTCTGGGCACCACCAGGGAAACTCGTATGACCCCC